TCCCGTCCGTAGCAATTTTCGGATCAAGCCATGTCGGCTCAAAGCACGCTGGTGCGTCTGGCTGCTATTCTAGAAGCAATGAAATGGAAGCTTCGACGTTGAAGCTCTCACGACATTCTCGAACTTATTTGTTGCTCCAATGCGGATGTTGACGCATGGTGTAGTGTGGCTCGTTGCGATGGCATGTGGCTTAGTAAGTGGTGCGTATCCGCCAGGTATGCCCCCGCCGGAGCTTGTTGGAAGGATGGATGCCGAGTTGGCGGGGACGTGTTCAGCGCTGTCTAATGAAAGCCCTTTGCGAGTTTTACGGGACGCGGAGTCGCCGTACACCGCACTCGTGCATGTGCCAGAGGCAGCAGGCAGTGCAGCGCAGCCTTTGTTGCTCTATCTGCACGGCATGGGGCAGTCTGGCGATGACATCCTCAAGACACTGGCGGCACCAGCAACTGGCGCGCCGCCAGTGGAGCTGCACCACCGGCGCGCTCCACGAGAGTTGGCCGAGAGGTTTGTCATGATAGCCCCGCAGACGAATGACGGATGGCTGTATGAGAAGCTCGGTAGATTCCTCGATTTTCTTTTGAGCTCAGGACAGAAGTCATTGGGAGCGAGTCTTGATCCATCGCGTGTCTACCTGACGGGGCACTCCATTGGTGGTACCGCTGCGTTGCTCACGGCTTCCAAGCTGCGCACAGCCGACGGACGGCCGCGCTTTGCAGCAGTGCTGCCCATAGCAGCGTCCTCCCTGCGGACCTACACGGCGTTGAAGGGCATCCCAGTCTGGCTCCACCACGGTGCCAACGACATCAGAAGACCCAAACACCACGTAATCATAAATTTTCGAAGCTCCGCGGGGACCTCCGAAAGTTTGTGTGCTCTGCAGTTTTTGAGTCTTCTGGACGTAGTCGTCCCGGTCAGGGCCAGCGACCAGGCCGCCGAGGCGCTGAGGTGGTTGAATCCCGCAGATGGGATGCTGCGCTATGACCGCTACCCAGAGGCGCCTACTGCCCCGGGCCGTGACCCAAGGACCCACCGCGGGCACGCAAGCCCGATCCTGACGTTCCAGAACCCAGAGGTGTACAGATGGCTGCTACAGCAGAGCGTTCAATAAAAACTCGCATTTCAGAAGGTGCCTAATGCGACCCAGATCTTCTCTGCTATCGACCTGGGGTGAACGCTTGGGGTGAACCGGCACCATTTCGGTGATTAGCTTCTGCTTTGCGAGGCGGTGCAAGGTAATGCTCGTTGTTGGAGTATGTGTGCGCGCTTCTCTTGTGCTGTGTGTGATTCTGTGTGATTCGGTCCGCTGCTTACGCTTCTTCCGTCCTGCGCCGCGACTTGTGTGAAGGCAGAACGTTGGGTGCGTTGCCTTGTAGCAGTCGTTTCACATCGTACATTTCTCTTTCTCTCGCTCTCTCTCTCTCTCTCTATCTCTCTCCCTCTCTGTTCCCTGACCCTGATTTTCTGTCCTTGCTCATTGCTCCCTGCACATTTTTCTACGCTCCCCCTTTCTGGCATCGTCATTTCTTCGTCCTCCTCTTCCTCCTTCCTCCCCTCCCCCTGCTACTACTCCTCCTTACTCCCCCCCCGTCCTCCTCCTCGTCCTACTCCTCCTCCTCCTCCTCCTCCTCCTGCATGCACACGGCCACCATAACGAATCAATGCATTTTTGTCGTTCAGGACTCGGACGATTGGCCAGGAACGCTCGTTGCAGACGGCGTTGAAGAATCGATGCCTGTCGACCCCGTAGTGTCACCTGGTTCAGGTGCCAACGGACCTGGCGTGCCCTCTCGCGTCGATCACGGTCGCAGCCATTCACGGTGGTCGCATCACATTGCAGTTTAGTGCCGTTCAGTGAGTCAGCCTTTTCCTGATCTCGACGCCCTGAGTAAGCATTTGCTCACGCATACTGGTTGTCCTTTCCCCCGTCGCGGCACTGCCGAGTGAGCGCGCTGATGTTCAAGCTGAGCTCGGTGCAGGTCGAGTCCGAAAGGGCACGCTCGGCGCCGCGAGGAGGAGGAGTGAGGCCTGCAGGGCGAGGCCGCAGTGGCTCGCAGGCTGCTTCCCGCCCGCGTGGGCGGGTACGAAGAAGAGGCAGTGCTGCACCTCGCGCCCCCAGACAGCAAGTAGCAGGCAACGGAGGTGCTTAGCCCCACCAGCCGCCATACGCGGCGATGGAGATTCGCAAGCTGTACGGCCTGTCGCCTGACACACTCGACCGTCTTCCGAAGATGGACGCGCAGACCGTGGCGAGGTTGATGCCAATTCTCGTTCGGGCCGTCCTCGGCAACACGTTCCAGTTGAGAATGCTGATGGCAGCGGCCTCTGCGACCTTCACGATGAGCGAGAAGGCGGCGGTGGTTCAGGCAGGGCTACGTGCTGGCAGGGCGTACTCGAAGGTGGCGGCGTCCGTGCGAGATGCTCTCCTCAAGGCTCAAGGACCCGCAGGCCAATCAGTCTCCAGAGGCCAAGATGGGACCAGCGGGTTTGCCGATATTCCTGGTGGTTTGCGCGGCTATCCAGAAGGCGGGCGACAATGTGGGGCAGACGAGCAAAGTGGCATGGGAAACCCGAAAGCATACGATCGACGCAATCACGGACGTGAGTGACATGGCGATGTTGGTGCGTGGCTCCAGGATAAGCATGGCGTGCAAAGATGGTGAAGCAAACATCACGATGATTGCAAGATAGCTTGATTCAGCTCGGGGCCGACCACCAGGTAAGCATGGCGCGGGGAAGCAACGTGGAAGACATGTTCCATTTGGCGATCGGCCTGTTCGACGAGACGTACGGGCAATCAGTTATTCAATACTTGTCCGGGATCGGCCCCGCCACGTTCGCTTATCGGTATCGCCTTCCTCGTCGGGACGCGGCAAACGAGGTCAGGATCCCTCTGAGGAGAGTCGTTCGTCTGCCATGTTGCCTTCGGGGCGCGGGAGGGGTGGTCAGGGTCCCTCTCGAGAGGGTTAGTCGTCGCTTTCACATCTGCTAGGACGCGGGAAAAACAGTGGTCTGGATCCCTCAGGAGAGGGTCATGTGTCTGCCACGCTCCATTCTGGACGCGGGAAAACAATCAGGGCACTCTGGAAAGCAGTCGATTATTACGGTTTTGTTCCAACACAGTTTTTTTTAGAGCGGGTCTCAGTTGATGGAGACATGATGTCACCTTCGAGCAGCGGTGAGTTTTGTGATGGGAGCGCTGCGGATTGGGATCCTCCTGCCCTTGCTGGGAGTGCAGTGGATCGTTTGCCTTCTTGATTCGCTGGGGGTGCAGTGGTCGGATTCCGCATGCTGTCGCTGCGAATGCTGTGTACTGTTTGCCTTCTGGAGGCGCTGGGTGTGCAGTGGATCGGGCTCCGCCTGGGGACGCTGGGTGGGGGTGCGGTGGTTCATGTACCTTCTGAGGGCGTTCGGGGTACAGTGGAGCGGTTTCCTCCAGTGGACGGTGGGATTGACATGGTTCGTGTACTGAGGGCGATCGGACTGCAGTGGATCGAGTTCCCCCCGGGGTCGCTGGGAGTACGGTGGATCGTCACCTGCGGGAGGGGGCCCGGCCGTGGGCCGCGAACTGGAGGAGGCTCCCCGTTGCGCCGCCGCGCCTGTCCATTGCGAGGGCCTTGGAATCGAAATATTTGCGTTCGCCAGGGGGGGGGGGGGGCAATGTTCGCAAAATCAACCATCCACCACCCGCGTTGAGCTGTCGAATGCATGACAACGTACGGATCGGCGCTTGCGTTGCAGGGGTCCGAGTGGATCCTGAAGGATACGCCTTTCGTTCCAGGCTGATGGGTGTCCAGGGTGATGATATTTCCGTATCCATGTGGCAGTGGTGTGAATGGAACTGTGAATGGCTTCTACGCCGTTCAAGCACCCAGGCCAAACGGGCATTGCATATACATGGTCTACATCGTGTGGTTTGCCTCGTGTAGACTTGGTACACGTGGCTGAAGCCTCGCTTCGGCGTCGCGGGCAACGGAGGCATTGTGGCCCCAGTATTTACCTACCTCGGCTCTGCCCAGAGGCTTCTGACTCTCTTTCTTAAAGGGGCCGGGCAGTGGAAATCGCCCCGGGCGGTTCCCCCAGTATCCGCCCCGCGGTTCCCCCAGTTACGTCCCCTGGGCTCACCCAGCTTAGCTAAACCAAGCTTAGCTTAGCTTAGCTTTAGCTTAGCTTTAGCTTAGCTTTAGCTTAGCTTTAGCTGAGCTTTAGCTGAGCTTTAGCTTAGCTTTAGCTTAGCTTTAGCTTAGCTTTAGCTTAGCTTTAGCTTAGCTTTAGCTTAGCTTTAGATCAGCTTTAGATCAGCTTTAGCTTAGCTTTAGCTTAGCTTTAGCTTAGCAGTTTAGCTTTAGCTTGGCTTGAGCTTAGCTTGAGCTTAGCTTTAGCTTAGCTTTAGCTTAGCTTTAGCTTAGCTTTAGCTTAGCTGCAGCTTGGCTTTAATTTAGCTTTAGCTTAGCTTGAGCTTAGCTTTGGATCAGCTTTAGCTTAGCTTTAGCTTTGCTTCAGCTTATCTTTAGCTTAGCTTTAGCTTAGCTTTAGCTTAGCTTTAGCTTAGCTTTAGCTTAGCTTTAGCTTAGCTTTATCTTAGCTTTAGCTTAGCTTTAGCTTATCTTTCCTGTTGCTACTAATGCTGCTTTCCTAGGGGCTCCAACTCCTAGGTAGGGTCGCGCTGGGATAATTTTGTTCATAAGGGTGTCTCGCAGAACCCTGGTGTATGTGAACGGCGTCACCCACTCTTCCTCCCCCTTCTCCTCCTCCTCTTCCTCCTCCTCCTCTCCTCCTTCCTCCTTCCTCTTCCTCCCCCTCAGTTCGACTGCGAAGCTCGCGCAGTCCGGGCACTAAAGCCGGCTTCGAATGCTTCTGCTTCCAGGCTGTCAGACTCGCGTACTCGCTGAGCTCCGCCGCCGCCGCCCCCCTTCCCCCCTCTCCTCCCCCCTCCTCCGCCGCCGACGCCGCCAACGCCGCCGCCTTCGACGTCGCCGTCGACGCCGACGTCGACGCCGACGATGCCGACGGCGGCCGGCGCCGACGGCAGCGCCGAAGGCAGCCGTCGCGGACGGAGGCCGGCGGCGGCGGCGGCGGCCGCGGCGGCGGCCAGGCGGGGGTTCGGACGCGAGCCTGGCGCACCTCGCGGGGGTCGCGCAGCCGCTGCTGCTGGACGTGGCCAGGTTCCTCTGCGACACGCCCGCGGAGCGGCGACCGACGACGACGACGACGACGACGACGACGGCGGCGGCGGCGACGACGACGACGACGGCGACGACGACCGACGACGCTTCGGAGGTTTTTGAGCTCTTCTCGGACGCTCTCGCCGCCACGGCTGGATCCATGTCGAAAAACTGGCCCTCGAGGGTCGAGGCATCGAGGACTTGGGATCGAGGGGGGGGAGGCATTGAGGCATCGAGGCTCAGCACCGAGGCATCGAGGCTCAAAGGCATCGAGGATCGAGGGGAAGGAAGGGAGCGACGAGGCTCGAGGCTCGAAGCTCGAGGATCGAGGTCTTCTGGGGCGCTTGGCTTAAGTCGGGCGTGTCCCCCTACATTGGGATTTTCGACGAAAAATAGAAACTACCCCCCAAATAAGCAAACAAAAGTCCACAAATAGTCTGGGGGCTATTTTGGGGGTATTTTCTGACATTTTTTATATTATTTTTCGTCGAAGATCCCCCTGTAGGGGGACACGCCCGACTTAACGCTTGGCCTCTCCTGGACTGTCCCAGGGCGCGATCGTCGCCACGGCTGGGGTCGCCGCGGAGTGCTGGTCAGAAACGCGCCCTTGGACAGGCCTGGGGGTCGCCGATATTTGAACGGGGGGGCGGGCGGATTCGGAGGCGGAGGGGGAGGAGGGGGGGAGGGAGGGAGGGATCGAGGAGAGGAGGTGTCCTTTGCCGCTGAGGCTGGCAGTCGTGCTGACTCAAATCCTGGCCCTGAGTGCAAGACTGGAGACAGAAGAACTACCCGACGCTTGGGCGCGACGCGGGCCTCGCCCCCTTCGGTACCCCTGGGATCGGCCGAGGGAGCGGCTCAGGGCCCGAAGAGATGGGAAAGGAATGGCAATGCAGCGAGAGAAAGGCAGCAAGGGTTAAGTCGGGCGTGTCCGTCTACAGGAGGATTATCCCAGGGGGACGTTTTTTTTTTTTTTTTTTTTTTTTTTTTTTTTTTTTTTTTTTTTTTTTTTTTTTTTTTTTTGTTTTGTTTTTTGGTGTTTTTTTGAATATCTTTTAGCAGTTTTGAGCATTTTTGTTTGTTTTTTCGCCCCAAATCCTTCTGTAGGGGGACAGGCCCGACCCAAGGGTCAGGCGCTTATCCTGCGCAATGGCACCAGTCTCCTTGGCGAGCGGCATTTCAGTTCATACTGTCCAATATTCAGTGCACGAATGCGTTAACAAAAAACCCATTGGGTGGAGAGCTGGACGAGAGGAGGATAGTAAGTGGCAAGCACAACGCGAGAAACAGAGAGAGAGAGAGAGAGAGAGAGTTGTGCAGCATCAGTGCAAGTCTTGCAGACCTGGTCACCTAAACTGATATGAGCACGTTGCTGCGTAAGGGGTGGACAGGCACACCGCAGGCCTTCCTGGAGCGGCGAGTGGCAGCGGGTCCCCCAAGTAGAGAACCGTTCCGCAGCTTTTCTCACGACACAGCAAAGTGGCAGAAGAGAGCCAGCGCCCGAGTGGTAGTGGGTCCCATATGGGAGGTCTGCTCCGCAACGACTCGTGGCTCAGTGCTTATCTCTGCAGCGAAGTGTGTCGAGGGAGGCGCTGGGGCGGCGCATGGCAGGGCATCGAGCAGTGCGCGACGTATTTCGATTACGTCTGGGAGCGACTCGCTCATGCCGTCCATGGTGGGGGCGACCTCAGGCGGCGGTCCTGGTGTCGTGCCAATCATGTCGGGTCCCCACTCGTAAGGTGGACTGGGGACTCCAGGCAACTGGATCCAGTCCCAGGTCCAACTCGCGTCGTCAGGCGTAGGCGTGTGGCAGGGCCACTAGACTGGGTGCACCCTCCCGATCACCGCTTGGTGAAGGTGCGCGTCTGGTGGTTATGCGCCCATCCGTCCAGTTGGTTACTGCTGCTGGTGGTGCTGCGAGTGGGCACTGGCCAGACATCTGAGCGATAATATGACATGGCTGCCTTGCTGTCTGGGAGAGGCGCCGGGAGACCTGAGGCATAAACGGCTGCCGAGTCGTGTTGTGCGAGTGAGGAGCAGGCCTTGCAGCAACAACTGGAAGCGTGCGTGATGCGGGTGTGTGGGATACAAAAATGGGGTGACCATACATAAGACATGCAACAACATGACGTGACATGGACAGAGTAGCAAGAGCCGCTGCAATTCATGAGGCACAGGGCGCTGGCAAAAGGTATGTCAACCATGGCATGTTTCATCATCCTTGGCGAAGAATGATGTAATGTTGGCCCTTTGCGTTTTGCCGAACTCTGCCACTAACGACTGTGCTCGCGTGCTCCGCCTACTGGAATGCTGCGGGCACCTGGCATGTTGCAGATGGCGCTTCCCGACAGCTCGGCTAAAATATTTTGCCTGGCTGCTTCTTGCACCCTGGACCCTCAAAGAGGCCATCCCAAAGGCAACTTTGCCTGTGGGGGGACGCGCTTGGGAGCCAGAAGGAAGGACGTGACGATTAATGACCCGGGAGTGGCTAGCTCACTGCAGGAATCTAAGATGCTCGGTGCTCTACCGAGGGGGAGACCCGCTCTCGAGGGACTGCCTCGCTCGGAAGCGCCCGCATTTCACGCGGAGTGTAATTGAACACGATACAGTAGGCGCTGCCTTGGGTGGGCGGGGTCTCGCAGCTGGTGGTGCGACAGGGTGAAGGAGGGTAGAGATGGGAAGTAGGGGGATGATTCGAGGGAGGACGTAGAAGAGTAGGAAGAGCAGGAGGAGAAGGAGGAGGAGGAGAAGGAGGAGGGAGAGGAGTCGAAGGTGGTAGAGTAGGAAGAGCAGGAGCAGCGGGAGAAATGCCGGCGCGGCCGAGGACTTGACCAGCATGTGCTGTGCGTCCACGCAGCTCGCAAAGCTGCTGCAGTCTGGGCCCATCTCGAGGGCCGTCTGGCGCGAGCTGTACGGCAATAGGCGGCCACCGCCGCCGCCGGCGGCGTCGGCGGCGAAGGAGGAGGAACCATGGGACACGGGGCTTGGAGAGGAGGCGAGGGGGAGGAAGAGGAGGAGGAGAGGCAGGAAGAAGACAAGGAGGGTGAGGAACAGGAGGGACAGGAAGCAGAAGGATGATGACCACGACGGCGACAGTGGCAGACGATGGTGATGATGACGACGACAGCGATGATACTGCTGCTGCTGATGACATTTTTTTTGCAACGAGCGTCCACCCTCCACGGGGAAGTGGCAGTCGTAACCCATTCAGGAAAACAGCTGTCGGGAATCAGAGGCCCAGCAAACCTCGGCCGACGACAACGACCACGACGATGACAACCACGACGACGATAATGATGTTGATGATGGCGACGATCATGCTCGTGGTGATGCTGCTGCTGCTGATACTGATGATGTTTATTTGCCTGATTATGATATTGCTGTTGTTGCTGCTGCTGCTGATGCTGATGCTGTCGTGGTGATGATGACGATGATGACGATGACGATGCTGCTGCTGACGTTGATGATGATACCTAGGTGATGATGATGATGATGCTGATGATGATGCTGATGATGATGCTGACGATGATGATGCTGATGGTGGTGGTGGTGGTGATGACGTCGACGAAGATGAACACGACGACGATGACGATGGCGGTGTTGTTGATCGAGAAAGGGGCGGGCCAGCCGTTTTTGTCCTCCTCCTTCTCTTCTTCTTCTCCGCCTCTTCCTCCTCATTCTCCTCCTCCTCCTCCTCCTCCTGCCTCCTCTCGCCCCCCTACGCTCGACTCCTCCTCCCTCCTCTTCCTCCTCCCTCCTCATCCTCCTCCTGTCCCTCTGCGAGGTGGCCGTGCTTCTTCGAGTGCCTGGCCTACCAGGGGGCCGACGACTGGCGAGGCCACTACCGCGAGACGGCCCGGGGCAGCTGCGAGTTTGTCCTGGAGGCTCCCCCGGCGAAGCCGCCCGCAGCACATGGGGGAGGATGGGAAGGAGGGGGAGGAAGAATACGAAGGAGGGAGGGTACTCTGGGTTTCTTAATGAGCGAAGGGGTTCCCCTCCCGACGGGGGGGCAACCTCGCCTCGTCGCGGCGCCGCGACGGGGGTCGGAGCGCCTTCGGCGCGCGGTGGCTGCCTGCGACGGGGGTCGATGCGTGGCTGTCGGCGGGGGTGACGCCCCCCCCCTCCGACGCTTACGGGCCTCCAACAACTCAGCCCGTATGGGAGCGGGGCATGGTGAGTGGGGGGGAACGCCGCCGCGCGGCCGAGAGCAGGGGATGACGGACAGCTGCGACGTCGAAGCGCTTGGTGCGAAGCACCTGTCGATGCTCGGCCTCCACTTGTCATGGCGCCAGCATCGCGGAGCGGATTTCGTTCGGAAAACGACAGGGTGGGCCCAGGGTGTCCTGGAGAGTTTCGTTCCGGAATTCGAGGTGAATTTCGTGCGGATATTTTTTGAGCAGGCCGCAAAAATCCACGCAGAAATCCACGCAGCAATCCGCTGCAGCACGTCTGCAAGGCCTGTGCAATGACACTTGATCGCCTCCGCTGGCCCTCGTCCCCTTCTCGCCTCAGTGCCCTTTGATGATTCTGACGAGTCGGGGCTCCCACGGGGCGGCGGGCATGCCTGGGCAGTGGTCCGCAATCGATCAGATTAGTGTTAAGGCGGGCGTGTCCCTCTACAGGGGGAAATTTAAAAAATAGTCAAAAATAGTCAGGGGACGATTTTTTAAAGTATGTGTGAACATCTTTGAGTATGTTTGAATATTTTTTGTACTTCGTCCAAAATCCCCCTGTAGGAGACCACGCCCGACCTAAGATTAGTGCTGCCTGGAGTGCACTTCCCAGCGGTTCCCGCAACAGGTTCAAGTGGGAGAAGAGAGCAAAGGGTCGGACAGTGTGGCAAGGACGGAGGGAAGCTGAGACAAGATGCGCGCGCCCCCTGCCGCCGAACCATGGGGCTGGGGCTCTGTGCGCAAATTCTGGGTATCTCTCGAGAGATCTGGCAATCACGTCTGAGTCTGTGACCCGTATCCGATTCCCCCCTCCTTGCGACTCCCGCCGGGTGGATTGGATGGGGATCGCATGGTTCTGGCGGGGCAGACCGCCCGCCTGTGAGGATGACCTGGGCACCAGCAGAAGCGAAGCGGCACCCTCTGGATGATACGCACTCGACAGTCAAGACGATGAAATAAGGATCACGTGTCGGGTCTGACCCGATCAGGAGGGGCTCCTTCGCCCTTTGCGTCGATCCAGGTCAGGAAACCTACACTCGAAACCGAGGCTCGCCGTGGCCAGAAAGACCTCTTCTTTCCTCATTTAGCGTTCCTTCCGGCAGTACGATGGCTGTCGCGGCCGTAGCTGGAGCGGGATCACATTATGCAGCCTGCGGCGGCACGCAGTGCTAAAAGATCTTTCGGTGCAGACTTGGGCGCGGCACGCGTGGCCGTGATCTGGGCATTCTCCCTTGCTACTTGTGGGCCGCCCAGTACCGCTTGCCCCCTTGTTTCATTTTGGGGGGGAGGAGTGCGAGGATGTATACAGATATATGTATATATATACATATGTATATATACATTGTACTCTCGTGCGTTATATCATAGTTTGTCATATCACAACATATGGTAATGCATTCTATTATATTCTGTTACATTGTATCATGTTATATTTCATGGTGGAGCATATTGTTTTAACCCAGTCACATGACATATGATATTGCGTTGTAAGGTATAACGCCAGCATATCATACCATATTATAGGTATGCTATTTCCGCATTTTGTATTATGTCATGGTATATGATTTTGTATTTTACCAATCATATCATATAATACATAAAGTTATAGTATAGTGTCTTGTTCAGTATTATATACTATCATGATGTATCAGTTTCGGTCATATTATCATATATTGTATGATATGGTATTCTAGCATTACCTGTTCTTATACTATGATATGGTATAATATGTTATACCATATTTAGTCATATCGTATTATAGGATAACATATTTAATTTATGATATAAAATCATTTTTTTGTACAGATCGTATCATATCAACACTATATTCTGTTTTGCTAGATTACGTTGTGTTGTATTGCGTTATACAATTTTGTATCATATTACGGTCCAATTGAACGTGCGCTATTATTTTAAGTATGGTGCTATGTTATGTCATATTTCAACCAACTATATTTTACTACGCTCCGTTGATATCACATATAATAGAATATTGCACTGCGTTATATCATACCACATCGTTGCATCATATCATTTTATTATATATGATTGTGTATTATATTATGATTTTGCATTTTTTGTGTATTGTATTGTATTGTATTCTGTTATATTGTATTATTTTTGTACGATATCATATAGTCATATATGCTTTTAGATACGTTTTATAATGTATTATATTGTATTGCGCTGTATTATGTTATATTGTATTGTATTTCAGTGTACTATATTGTGCTACATTGTAGTAGCATACATTTCAGCACGCGATATTTTAAAATGTTATATTGTTTTGATTTATATTAATTAGTTGTATAATATCTCAGAGTATTGTATTATATAGTCTAGTATGTTCTATTAGGTTGTATTGATTCATCTTATATTATATTGTATCATATTATATCATATTATAGTATACCATGATATATCATGTTATATTATCGCATATTATATTGTATCAATATTTCATATTTTAGTATGATATGTTGTATGCTAGTTTGTATAAGGTGTTGTATTATATTATGTTCTATTATGTGGTATTGTGTTATAGTGTTTCATACTCTATTTTACAATATTGTGTTATAATATGTTATTATAGATTATCCTATATTTTATCATATTGTATTATATCGTACTGTATTGTATCGCATTGCATTTTACCAGAGTTATAAATATTATCTGATATTAGGTTAGAACATGTCATATCATACATGTTTTCCCACACTATAGTACTTCATGTTTTACCCTATTATGTCATATCATAACATATTCTATTATATGGTATTGTATTATCCGTAAGGGCTTCGCCCCATGCCGTCGGCCCCCTGTCTCGGATAATGGGAGATGCAAAAGCTAAATCATGAGGTCTGGGCGGTGCCGTGAAGCAGTGTCGGGACCTGTTTGTTTTTCGACCCTGACCCCGCCGATCTGCGTGAGGGGTGCCATTGAATTTAAAAAACGTGACACATCCCTTGTGTTCTTGAACCCAGGGCTCTCAGACCGCCACTTGAGAATCCATTGTTGTCGCCCAAAGACGGCCTCCAGAGGCCCCGGACACGCCGAAGATGGCCTCAGGACGGCCGACGACGGTGCCAAAACGCCCCAAAAGCGCCTCCAGAGGCCCCTCCAAAGGGCCCCAGAAGCCGAACATTGTGAATTTTCCAGAATGGTTTTTGAAGCATTCTTGCGCTCTTCCATGTTCCGCCTCCCCACGGTCCCGGACCGCCTCACAGGCCATTCAGATCGCTCCAAGACGGCCGAACAGGCTCTCCCAAGAAAGCCCAGAGACGGCCCAGGAGGCCCCCCAGATAACTCAAGAGGGCCTCGAGAGAAACAACCAGGGGGTGGGGAACGCTGGGCGAGGTCGACGGCGTGGAGGGCGGCGGGGCGGAACAATTGCAATATGGGGGGTCGCATGAGAGAAACAACCAGGGGGTGGGGATGCCGGGGCGACGTCGTCGACGGGGGGGGGGCGGCGGGGCGGAACAATTGCCCAGTAGGGGTCCTGAGAGAGAATCAACCAGTGGATGGGGATGCTGGGGCGATGTCGACGGCGGGGACGGCGGCGGGGTGGAAAAATGACAAAGGGGGGTCCTCACAGAGAAACAACCAGGGAGTGGGGGTGCCAGGGCGAGGTCGACGGCGGGAACGGCGGCGGGGCGGAACAACTGCCTAGCGGGGGGTCCTACGAGAAAAACGACCAGGGGGTGAGGGTGCTGGGCGAGGTCGACGGCGGGGAGGGCGGCGGGGCAAAGC